ACTATAAAGGCGTGTATCAGGTACGAAACGAATCATGTACTGGATTGTAGATAGTCAAGACGGGATTTGTACCTCTCGTAAAAGAGAGAGATATCGCTGGGCCCCTCGTGTGAGCGAGACTGTAGAAATGTGTGGCCGCACTATAGACGAACGTCGTCTATTTCAGACAGTCGAACTCAGTGAACGAGAAATCAGTCGAATCAGATAAGGTGGCTTGTCCATGCCTTATGTTCGACATATGATATTGTGATACAAGAGGATCAACCGAAATCATCTCTAGCGTTCGTAAGATCACGAACAACCTCTATTCGAGATATGTAGTCATAGTGTCTTGCTAGAGACCGCCTATGACTTGTATATCCGGAATAGATATTTCAGACTATACTGCTATATGGAATGAGCCTACAGGGTCATACACGCAGGGAATGACGAAACGTGCGAGAAAACGACGGAAAAACCAAGACGGAAGGGTCTGGAACGGACGGACCAGAAGGCCAAAACGGACGGTCCGCCAGGTCCAGACTTGCGTGCTTTAATTAAAAAGAACCTTCAGAACGGACTGTCCGTTCCAGAAGGTCTGGAACGGACGGTCCACTAATGCCAGGCCGTCTAATCTACGTGCTGAAATGGACGGTCCGCGTATATTTCTGGACCGTCCGTTCCGGGCTTCAGTTTTTCTGAAATTAAACTGAATTAGGGTTAAATCACCTTATAAGAAGGAGATTAAAAACCCTAACTCGTAAGAGACGAAGAGAGCCGACTTTTGGCAGAAAAGAGAGAGTTTTTGGAGATCCAAAAACGAGTTCTAAGTCTCGAGATTTCTCGGTGCACATATCGAATAGAGATTCGAGTCCTAGCAGACAAGTTACAACCGTTGGAATCCATCCCGTGGTGTGGATATGTGTAGAGGGCGAGGTATTTTTCCTGCCTTTCGTGATCAGACGTGTTCTTCGATTGATACAGGCCCCGAATCGATTGAGGTAAGTGTTCTAACGTTTCTACGATTCATAGAAGCATGGTTCTAGGGTTTATTAAATTTTTGTTTTATATCCGCTGCGCAAACCCTAGAATCGATCTCTTAGGAATTAGATTCGCTCATGAGATCCCAGGAAACCCAACATCAGAAGGTTAGAAGAGCATAATATTGTTTTCCGGCTGAAGCTTATTTGGTTGTTGCTAAGCGAGGCCGGATCTATTTGGGTGGCCTGGGTTCGTATAAATATTTTCAAAGATCGTAGTTTCTGGGACTGCACTAAATCATCTGTGGCATCATGGAACCTCAAGAAGCTTTTGCAGCTGAAGGATCAAGTGCACCCCTTTTAAGAAGGTTAGAAGAGCATAATATTGTTTTCCGGCTGAAGCTTATTTGGTTGTTGCTAAGCGAGGCCGGATCTATTTGGGTGGCCTGGGTTCGTATAAATATTTTCAAAGATCGTAGTTTCTGGGACTGCACTAAATCATCTGTGGCATCATGGAACCTCAAGAAGCTTTTGCAGCTGAAGGATCAAGTGCACCCCTTTTAAAACACAGGGCCTCGGTTGCTTGGTTTGCATCGGTCTTCGAAGGTTAGTGCGGCGGTGAGTGATAATGGATGGAAACTGCCGCGTGCCAAGTCTACTGCAATCCAAGTTCTGTTGGAAGCTCTAGCCACAATGGATCCACCGAGGCCAGAACACGGGAGAGACAAGGTTCTGTGGAAGCACAAGGATGATGACTTTCGACCATTTTTTAGCTCGCCGCATACATGGCAGCTGATTAGAAGTAGGGTCCAACAGTTCCATGGCATTCATTGGTATGGTTCACTGAGGCAGTCCCACGTCATGCGTTTCTTATGTGGCAAGCAATCCAAGGCAGACTTCCCACCCTAGATAGGCAAAGGTCTTGGGGGATTCAATTGGCAAATAGGTGCATCCTCTGTTGTGCAGCCCCTGAAAGTCACTCACATCTTTTCTTCACTTGCTCATTCAGCAAGGAGATTTGGACTTTTTTTTGGTACACGTTACATGTTTGGGCCACCCTCAAACTTTCTCGACGATCTCTTGTCGGTTGGAGCCACGAGAGCCACGGGCGAGCCAAAGAATCTGATTGCTCTGCAGAAACTCCTGCATCAGTTAATGATCTACGAGCTATGGCGAGAACGGAACCATCGAACTCACCGGAGTGAGGTTAGATCTGCCCAGCAATTCATCTCTTCGTTCGACAAGTTGATGCGCCAAATTCTGTTTTCACTTAAAACTCCTACTAATTCTCCTAGGAATTTGCTACTGCAACATTGGTACACTCATCCACCGTAGGCTTCTGTAATTGTGCTCGAGTTCTAAATGTTTTTTTTACCACTTCTATATGGGGATCTCTATTACTTCATTTTGTAATCTGTCTCTAGACAGTGTTGTAAACGGACACGTTTTTTAGGCATCTTATTAATAAAACTCTCACATTAAACAAAAAAAAAAAGACTCCACATATAAATCATCTGGGCTGGGGAAGCGTATACTATCCGAAACCGCTAAGCCATAGTCGGTGGTATGAGTCTATGCCCGACAAGCTTGAGCTTTATATCTCGTATTTCTACAAGGCCTCCAATAAGAGAGGCTTGAGAAGATATCCAAACACCGCGCAAATTTACATTTTCTTGATCCGAAATCCAAGTTTTGAACCGGACTATATATTGGGATATTTGGAAAATTTAGATAACGACACAGAAAAGGAAATTATAATTGATACACATCCAGCTCTAGGGTTTCGGTTTGTGAGGCTAGCTACATGAGAGGATGGACCGCGCCTTTCGCCGTCTCTGTTTTCTCGCCTAACACCGCCACACACTCTCACACACGCTTATCGCCCTTCTTCTACCTCAATCTCCATAAAAAAAAATTTCTCTTCTCCTACCTCTGATTAACTTTCTTTTTCTTCTCTCCCTCCAATCCGATCGTTGTTTAATGTTTTTATCTCCATAGCTCACCTTGCACGAGAAACTGTACAGTAGAGCTTCAGGTCTCTCTCTCTCTCTCTCTCTCTCTCTCTCTCTTATATCAGTCTCTCTGTTTCGTCTTTGTTCATGAGCTCTCCCCAGGAGTTCACCAGAGAACATATCCGTGATTCACTGGTTCAAAGAATACCCATATGTAATTCATGTTGTTTTTAATCTTCCAACAAAAAATACCGTGTTTTTGCCAATATTGTTTTTTTTGGATCCGTAGATCTTGAATCTGATCTTGGTTCAGAGAATCATATAATCATCCTGTTCAGATTTTACCCTTCAGGAATTGTCGGATCTTTTAGAGAGTTTTTTTAATACTCCTCGAAAATATCCCCATTTGAGTAAAAAACCCCCACTTCTGTCTGCATCTCATCTAAAAAAAAGTTGGAATCTTTATCGTGCATTTGATTTCTACATGGCCAAATCTGTAAAACCAATTTCCAGATCTGTAGCTTACATTAAATTAATCGGATTTTTTTCCCTCTTGAACAGGTCAATTTTGATTTATTTGTTTAAAGATGAACCACTGGGCGGACACGAGGAACTCAGTTACGGTGTTGGAAAGGGACCACACCGTTTTCTGTCCGAAGCCACGCCGTACTGGTCTCCTCCGTAACCCCACCACCGTCCACCACCACGACCGCGACCACCACCTTCATCCTGTTCGGTCTTTCAGATGTAACTTCAGGTGCTCCTTTTTTTTTGTTTCAATTCTCAATCTTTTCACTAATTCTTCATATTTCGCGTTGATTACTTAATCCCCCGATTTGTTAATCTCTGCTGTTTCAGCCACCAAGTGGAGCTATGTGGATCAAAAGCAGAGACTGATATATTGGATATTATTCTGATGAAGGTATACATTTTTTTTTTCAAATTTCTCTGGTGGGCAATTGGCAAAAGTTGTGGTGCCCCATCGTTAGGTTTTTGCTTACCCATGGTTGAATCCGAATTCAACTAACTAACGAGGAAAAGGTCCTTTCTTTCTCAAGGACAAGAGTCTACGTGAAGGGTTTTGAGATTTGTCCAAACTAATTTGAAACATAACTCAGCTTTAGGCGATCTGTTCTTGTTGGAATTGAGGAGCTATTGTTTCGTCGGATTCCGACCCATCTTGTTGAATCTCGGACTAATGTTCGTTACTGTTGTATGAATTCTCAGGATGGATTTGGTGAGGAACAAGTTCATACACAGGCAATAGATTCCTCCTCGTCGCCGCCCCCGTTTTTCAGCGGGTCGCCGCCGAGCAGAGTAGCTAACCCATTAACAAAAGATTCTCGTTTTACAGAAGACATTGACATGACAATGGTTTCATCCCCACAGCCTCTTGTGGGAGGAGGGGGGCGTGTCCGAGACAATTTTGGGAACAGACCCACCCTTAGGATCGAAGGGTTCGATTGCCTAAACAGGCACAGCAGAAACTGCAGCATCCCTGCCCTTGCTTAAGTTAACCGATAAACCCTAAAGACACAGTAGTAAGTATATAGTGTATGGAGTTCTAAGAATATGATGATGCAAAAAAAAAAAAAAAAAAAAAAAAAAAAGAGAGGTTGAGAAGTTAAAGTTGCAAACAAATTAGAGTCTCTTTGAAGGAGAGAAAGAAGAATCCTTTTGCAGAGTGTAAATATCTTTTTTTTACGGATGGTAACTTTGTAAGTTTTTTTTTTTTTGTGTTCTTGGCACTATAAGTAAAAAGAAATAAAAGTGTCCTGTTAAGACCCAATCTTCTGTTATGTTTTTGGATGTTTGATTATAATATATTTAAGAGTCGGTCTATGGTTGGTCAGTGATGTCTTTCATATATTGCAAGTACAAAATGAGTGCTTAAGTAGTGTATGTATATATGGTATATTTGATCAAATTTTGAATTCACTTAAGTATACATAACCGTAAAATATACTATACGGTTATGTCTATGGTAATTAAAATTCATCCCAAATTTCGTTTTTAACTAAAGTATCTAGAAAACTAAATCAAAATAAATTTTTGGTACTTTGACACAGACTTGGGCCCAATTAGTAGATTCATCTAATTGCTAGCCACAGTTTCAAAGCCCTCATAGCTTCTTGACCCAACTTCCATAGGATCATTTGTCAATGAAACCCTTGTACTTTCTAGTAATTTGCGAAAAACCGAATACTATTTATTAATTCTATTAAGAGACCTATAGTTTTTAGAAGTTGAAATCGCACCCCTAATTTTGTCTTTTCATCCCACTATTAACATTCAAGGAAGGTGGTACATGATTAACACATTGTGGTTGTATCGCAAATGTACGGTTATTTAACTTTCCTAAATAAATTACTAATAGCTCCTTACGGGAATAATAAAGCGATAAATATAAAATCATTAGTGTAAAATAAAAGTAACATTCAACAATGAATAAATTGGTGAGGATAAAATGTAAAAAGTTCGTTTTGATAACAAGATGAAAAATGAGGGGAAATTAAACAATTAAATATTATAGTGGACGGCAAAAGCGAGAATGAATGGAGACAGAGACATCGTCCACTTGCGAACTGTCCCTTGGACGATTCTTTCAATTTGCAAAAAAGAGTTTGCCTCTTCGTTGCGTTGCTTCTACTTCGATAATGACTTTGCCACATTAACTGCTCCTCTAACCAGTCCGATCCAAATATTTTGCACATTTTTATTCTTAATTGAATTTTCATCATGCATAGTATGTCGTATGTCGACGTTGCCAATGTTCATTTCAAGTGGAATTTAAATTAGATAAGCATATACATAACGATTTGGTATGAGTAATTCAATCTTTACTTTTAATGTTCTAATTAATGTTTTCTAATTAAGCACATATACAACAAATTTTACATTCACTAGGAAATAATTTTTTTTTAAAAAAACTGTATATAATTTTGTGTTGCTCGGCGGAGAAATAAAGGAAAAAAAAATGGACACGTAGGGTAAGCATCAGACACATGTACCCTCCTTAATCAAGCTTAGTTTCGTGAATCCAATGTCGGTAACTCTCTCCCCTTTGTCGCAAACCCCTGTCTCCGTACACATTCCTCCACACCAATCTCCACCTTTAAATATACCCCACTTCTCTAAGTCACGGGTCATCACAAAATGAAGAGGCAGAGGAATAAGCCGGGACCCACCTCGTCGTCAGAGAAGAAGATCAAGATGGAGGAGGAGAGGACGCCGCCGCCGCCGGAGGAGGAGACGGTGGAGGATGCGGCGTTGTCGGCGGCGGCGGCGGTGGCTGCTGCTGCTTTGGCGGGGGAGGAGGAGATGGAATTGGTTGTGGGATTGGGGTTGAAGGGTGCTGATGTGGACGAGCAGATGTCGTGGGGAGCGGTTTGGTTGCCGTTTTGGGACGTCGAGTTTGTCGGAAGGAACTACGGGGTTTTGTTCGATGATGTTGTTTGGGACGACGATATTTGGAACTTGAGGACTGTCACTGAAGTCCCGCGACATGTTTAACTGTCTCTAATGATCCATTAACAGATAGGGTTAAACTAATTTCGGTTCTTAGTTCGTTTGTCCCATTTTCTCGGAGGTGGAGTTGGATTATCAGTTTCTTCTGATAGGTTTGTTGTCCCCAAAAAATGGGTTTGACTAGGCACTCAAACCCATTGCAATCTTAAATACGTTTTCCTCATCCTTAATTATCTCCATAATGTTCCGAGAAATTCGTAATTCAATTGTTTTACATCACCATGGTCTCACATATTGAGGGATGGGTGTTACATATCTCTGTCTGCTTCACAGTTTAACATTGTGATAACCTTATGAGTATAGTTAATAACTAACATTTTGGACAAGTATTCTTGGCGGTTTTCGAAAGTTTATCGAATTTTTTGTTCGATTATATCTTACAGAGGATCGTGAAAATTAAATAGAAATTCGAATACGAGTTAAAAAGAAGTTTTGATCTATCTCAAATTTGGTGGGTAGGTTTTCGCACCTTATCCATATTGTTTCTAACATTTTAAAATTTCGAACGATGTACCGACCGGCCGACGATAAGGGCAATACGAAGAAGGATGGTATTATGATGACATGGGAGATAAAAACATAATAAAAGAAGAGGAACACAACATGACAACTATGAGAAAGACAAACGGGAGAGTTCTCATTGGATGGGAACGATGGGTGAAAAATCGAAACAAACACAGAAAAGGAAACACCAAATATACTTCGGAACTACAGCGCAAAGGCCGAGTGAACGAACGGGACAGAACAAACACGGCATTAAAAGATACGAGAGGATAGGGTTCTTGATTTAGGTGGCTTTGGGCTTGTAGGCGATGAAACTGATGCACTGGACTTGACGGACGTTGTCGAATCCAATGATACGGATGTGCGCGTCAGGGTGTGTGGTCTTCGCCTCTTGGAGCTCCTTCATGACCTGAGCCGAGTCGGTGCATCCGAACATGGGAAGCTTCCACATCGTCCAGTACCTTCCGTCGTAGTACCCGGGCGAGCGGTGGTTCTCACGGTACACGAATGCGTTCTGTCAAATTACGTAAACAAACATTCAGGGTTTCATTGCAAATTGGACCGGATATTCGGATATTATGGCTCTTTTATGATATGTTACAAAGATAAGTTCAGTATATATACCCCCAACTCGAATTCAAGGCAGGGAATCCAGTTGTTGCGGAGGAGGTAATCCACCTCCTTAGCCAATTCGGTGTCGGACAAGTCAGGAAGGTAGGACAAGGTCTCGAACTTCCTCAGTCCGGTTGTAGGCCACACCTACAATAATAATAACAATAATAATAATATCAAAACTATAATCAAATGTCACCCGTATGAACTATATATATACCGGTTACAACTACGCCATTAATAAACAGTTTCTTAATACCATATGGTTAAAAAAAAGAAATGATGATATATATGGTTAAAAAAAAAAGACGTATAAAATTAAAGGTGTTTAATACAAGAGAAGAGATTGATAATTATAACCTAGTTACATGTGTAATTGCAAATATAGACATTTATAAATGCTGAAAGAAAGAACAAAACAAGGAATGACCTGCATGCAGTTGACTTTGCTGCCGTTGCTGGCCAGGGAGGTGAGGTCAGCGTTGTTCTTGCGGGTGACGGGGAAGGCGGCGGCGGACTTGAGGCCGGTGAACGGAGCAATCACTGCGGACTGAGAACGGCTCACGCCGGCGACGGTGGTCGCCGATGAAACAACCGATGAGGCCATCTCTCTTCCTTGACGACTTGCTTTTAAAACCCCTTCTTGTTTATTTCTGCGAGCAGCTTGAGAGAGGCTTTGCTACGTCCCCTCTAGCTCTTTATATACACATATTCGACCGTTTTCGAATTTCACCGAAATGGTTAGGATTTGTATTTTATTTTTTTGTATTTTTGAAATTCCAACGGTGCAAAATCAATGTTAGAGGGATTAGGCATCGATGTCCACATGATTAAAAACCTAAAAAGCTTTGAGATGAGCTCTTTGAAAGCCTTATCGTAAAGCGCTCCACAGATTTTGCCACGTGGCACGAACCCATTATCTTATCTCATCTTCATTGCCAAATTCAAAGCTTATGTTAGCCTTTCATTTCTCTATCAATAAGATGGGTGTTTGCAACTCTCTCTGCCTCTCCTCTTCAACTTCTCGTGTAACCTCTAAATTCAAACAATCAAAACGACGAACATGAGCTTTGTTTATTGTATAATCGAAACGTATGGATTCGAATTTGATAAGAAAAGCAATATATATATTTTATGTTATTGGCAACATCAATCGTTCCGATCCCCGTTTTATTGCCTTAAAATCTTACATTCTATTAGTATTGTCAGAATTCATCACTCTGTTTAAACCATTTAGTTCTGGTTAATATATTTCTTTTATTAATATTCGAATACGAAATATATTTGCCTGAATATGGCATTCAAATGGAAGTAAAAATATCATTCATTCAATATCTTTCTTAAGGATACATTAACGTATTTCATAAATTGGTGTTGAATGATATGTACGACCAAATTGTATCTTCTTTCTTATGGAGATATTCAAGATGACTAGGTACATAAATGTCAATCCAACTAATTTTGTCACATCAATGTAAATGGTCTTATCAGTGTTACTTGTGATGTTTTAGGATAATTATGAGATATGACTTCTGTACTATTTATTGGTTTATTTATATAAATATATTATTTTTCTATTTATATGATTTGCATATTTGTTATATATTGATATCTTTGATTCATTATAGGATGATTCTAAATTCTCTGATCGGTTGTCATCGTGGTATGAGGTGTCATCGATGATCATAGAGATGATTATTCGCACTGAATGCGGATCAAAATCATTGGTATTCGTTTGGAACGAGTGACTAGATGATCTGTATAAGATTGTCATATGGACATGCATGAACATGACTTAAATCTTATGCAACGGTTCATTCTTGTTCATACGTAAGATATCTATAACATCTGACATGAAGAGTAATGTATCTTCACTGCGTCAAACGTTGTTTTTAACTAGATGATCATAACGGCGATGCTCATATATATTTACGAGTCTTATGGAGAAAATAATCAGTCTAGACGAAATTTATCACCTCCCCAACGAGAGAGATATCGTCGACCTCTCGTGGAAATCGAAATGTGAAAAAGTATATATAGTAGTGTTATAGATGAATGATTTATCTATCTTGTTAGTCGATTTACGAGACGAAAAAGTGGTTGAATTTGAAAGATGTCTTGTTCCATGTCCTTGTTTCAACATGGGTATCTTGGAATGATTTTTTTTTTTGGAAAATTCCCAAAAAAATCATCCAATTATTAGATAACTATCACATTCATCACGAACTTTTAAAATTTCCAAATTCATACTGAATTTGAATTTTTTTTCTAAAAAATCATTCGAAATTTAAATTTTACCAAAAACCTCATCGGGACAGAATTAATTTTGCCACATATGCAGAAAGCGTCTACATGGCGCCTATGTGGCATGTACGTATTCGCCACGTAGAATACACGTGGCGTTAATAATAAAAAATTAAAAAAATTGGAAAAATATAAAAAAATATAAAAAAATGTGAAAAAAATTACAAAAAAAATGTAAAAATTGTAAAAAATGTAAAATTGTAAAAACAAATTTCAAAAAATGTAAAAAACGTAAAAATTATAAAAATTGTAAAAAAAATTGCAAAAAATTATAAAAATTGTAAAAAATGTAAAATTGCAAAACATTTCCAAAAATTGTAAAAATTGTAACAAATATAAAATTGTAAAGTTCGTGATGAATTTGATAGTTATCTCGTAATTGGATGATTGTTTTTTGGAAATTTCCCTTTTTTAAAAACCAAATATGTTCATAATGCATGGATAAGTTTTGTTACATGCATGTATGGCCATATATATTGTATACCTCTATTACAAAAACTACGTAAGATATCAAGATAAACACTAGATCTTTTAATGAATCTAAGAGACTAGGTTTGGGGTTCGAGTTTTCTAGATCCATAAAAAAAACCCTAGCTATAACATGTATGAGATTCATGCATGTACACATTGAAGAACAAACGCTAGCTTCAGGTATAAATCTTACATATAAGCACAAGTGTTCCAAAGAGAAAACAAGAAGCAGAGAACTGAACTCCGTTTGTGTGCTTAGAAGTTCCAGTCTCTTTCTTAGGTATAAGAGATTCAACATCCATAGATATGTTCTTGACAAATCAAAGCGATGAAATGGAAAACTGAGAATATGAAAAGAAAAAGCACATTTGTCTGTGTGTGCAGCCATATGTGCGTGTATCTATATATGCGTACATAGTGATGCAGATGACAATGATATATAGTCGGAAGAAATGGTAGGAAAACGAACCTTGGAGGCTGGGAAATCTTGCTTCTGTTACAGGCAAGAGGTAGAAGACAGTGAGAGAGAAGAGAGGCAAAGCAAGCAAAAGAGAGTTGTTTTGCAAAACAAGTGATATCTTAGCTTTGAGGGCACGGTGTTTAGGGTTTCTCTCTGTCCCTTTCTTCTTAGAGAGAGAGAGAGAGAGAGAGAGAGAGAGAGACGTGTGGGTTCTTTTATGGATCAGTGCCGAGATTATTTGCAAGAACTAATTTAAAAAACCGAAGTTGGTCTCACAGAAATACATGACAATTACTCCGAAAATCTATGTTGAATTCCACTATATACTCACATACGGCCTTTGTACATGTATAGCTAAACTATATAGTTATTGAATCGTGGCTATTTCACATCCGAAAACAAGATTTCGATCCACAACATCATAAATTAATATAACAAAAAAACAATAAATAAAATTTCACAATTTAAAATTTTTATTTTGATTCTGAAATGTGGAAATATAGAGATGTATATTGATATTTTGGGTACACCATAATGTCGAGGACTAACTTTAATTAAACTAAACACCGTATGTGGAATACAGCTGTGCTTTAGGACGGACTAATTAGCTTTGAAACAAAGTACTCATAGAGTAATGAAATGATTAATATACTGAATACTATATATTATAATATAATATATGATATATATGTTTATGTATCCCAAGGACAAAACAAGAATTGAAGCTTCTATACCCTCAACTTGCAGTCAAATGTTGGGAGGAAAATGATGTATCGTACCTTGAATTATGCTCTTTATTGCATCAATTTCAGTGCAGTTTTCATGATATTTTTTTTTTACATTTGTTTAACCAAGTTCCAATTAATGCGATTTCTTTATCCAAATTGACCTTGAAGTTAGCTCAAATCCAATGGTCTAATTACGGATTTTGTTAAATGTTAACTTAGTTAGGAACTATGATCAAAATGCTAATCTAATTTCAGTAAAAATATATAAATTTGTTTCGTAATTATGCATTTACTTGGAAATATACAAATAGCTTTGGTGGGTATATATATTATCTTTCATTGTATGTCATATATTTTATGTTTTGCATTTTTTTGCAATAAATTGTTAAATCCATAATATGGATTAATGTCAATGTGAAAATTTCTTGGTCATTTGGAGCTTGGAAATTAGAGCAGTAAACAATATGGATATTGTTTTCAAACCCGTATTAATTTTTTATATATGTGTGTTCGTGAATTTTCATCATAAAATAACTGTATTTTGGAGTTTTAGATGAGAAAATCATCCATCGCCACTTAACTTTACATTTATAATAAATATCGGAAAAACAATGAAAAAGGAAATATTGATAAACTTTATTTTATGCCAATTGTAGATATTGAAATAGTAAGAACTAAACAATATTATATTTTTTCATTTAAAACATCTAACAAATATTGTTTTTTTACAATTTTTTTCAAAAGATACTTTTTTAAAAGGGAAATTCCCAAAAAAATCATCCAATTATTAGATAACTATCACATTCATCACGAACTTTTAAAATTTCCAAATTCATACTGAATTTGAATTTTTTTTCTAAAAAATCATTCGAAATTTAAATTTTATCAAAAACCTCATCGGGACAGAATTAATTTTGCCACATATACAGAAAGCGTCTACATGGCGCCTATGTGGCATGTACGTATTCGCCACGTAGGATACACGTGGCGTTAATAATAAAAAATTAAAAAAATTGGAAAAATATAAAAAAATATAAAAAAATGTGAAAAAAATTACAAAAAAAAAATGTAAAAATTGTAAAAAAAATTGCAAAAAATTATAAAAATTGTAAAAAATGTAAAAAGCTAAGATCTAGAATCAAGAAAGACCTAGAAATAGGCTAACCAGTCCCCGGCAATGGCGCCAAAAACTTGATACGTGTGTACCGAGTCTAGAATTTATAACCCGATTCACAACTCACCGCAAGGATACAGATCGTCGTAACACGGGGTCGAACGCATTGCTAAATCCAAATCTAGATCGAAAATGGATCAAAGCAAGCAAGCAAGTGATGGTGGAAATATGTAGAATCTATGGAAAATAAAATAAGAAAGCAATGTAAACGAGTAACCTATCAAACAAGGATGACTACGGGCGTCGGGATCGTATTCGCGTGTATGGGTATTTACTAAGCATGCATGAATAACGATTATGACTTGTATTCGGGAATCATCAAGAAACGATAATAGAGAATTCACCTCTCGGTCTACTAACTCACTATCTACAGAGTAACTCGTCAATCTCTCGATCTATTCAAGTTAACCCTAGGTGCATAAAGAACGCTTGAATGGGAATAGGACTCTTGAGAGCCGCCCTAGGGTTATAAAAAAGCCCTAGCCACGTCCTAGAACATGAGAGACCCTTAGAGAACACCTAGATACACACTTTTGGAG